ATATATGTATATATATATATATATATATATATATATATATATATATATTAGGGCTGCCCTCAATTAAAGATTTTTCTGGTCGACCAGTAGTCGTTTTATGTTAAGCGGTTAGTCGACTAATCGCATGTAGCCTATATATTAATAAATCATAGTAATGACCGTTTAACTGCCTATGTAGCGCACAAATAAGGTTTGCCACACAGCGCACTGGCGTAAGTAATGATTATGAATGCATCAGGAAAAAAAAAGCAAGGAGACAGCCTTAACATTTTAATAATTCGTTGATAAACCAGTGTTTGCTGTATTTTCGGCTACAGTGATGAATTGACGATCTCCTCAGTGGATGCACCTAAATTAATGTTTCATACATATCACATCACCTGAGAATAGTTGTTTTCCATCTGAATTGGTTCGTTTAAAAGAAGACATTTCACTTTCTAGCACGTTTATATTAATAAACCATAAATCATAGTAATGAGCGTTTAATTGCCTATGTAGCGCACGATTAAGTTTTGGCACACAGCGCACCGGCAGAAGTAATGATTATGAATGCATCAGGAAAAAAAGCAAGGAGACTGCCTTAACATTTTAATAATTCGTTGATAAACCAGTGTTTGCTGTATTTTCGGCTGCAGTGATGAATTTACGATCTCCTCAGTGGATGCGCCTTTATTAATGTTTCATACAGATCACATAACCTGAGAATAGTTGTTTTCCATCTGAATTGGTTCGTTTAAAAGCATACATTTCGCTTTCTATAGATAGGCCTATATTTCTTATGCCTGAGGCAAGTATACACAGAGATTCGTTTTATTATTTGGCGTGCTCAAGTTCAAAGACCGTGATGTGACGGCAGAATGCGCACCCTGTTTGCTTTCATTATTTCACAAAATCACAAAGTTATTTTTGTTATTGTGACTGCACACAAATAAAAGAACAGTCTTTCAAGCTTACAAATATGTATAACTCCTATTTGTATGACCAAAAAATGTTAAGTACAAGTGATCACACCAGCGCGCGCTTCCTC